TCAACTGTTCTAACTATCCGTGCTATCCGGCAGTGCTTTTTAGCCGCTGTTTGCGTGCTATTAGTATTTAAATGAAGCGTGAGACAAAAAGTATCCTTGTTACAAGGAAAAACTAAATAAGACTTTGAACGGCCTTTATCGCAAGTTAAATAACCCGCAGTGCTTTTTAACTGTTCCCGTTTCTGTGGCGCCAATTTAACCCTGCGGCTTGTTATTGAAGAGACCGCTGCAAAGGAAAATATTTATTTGCTCTTTCAATGTATATTCATTGTACAGGAAAATCACACGCAAGACCTTTGAGGCCCGATGTACTAATAAAAGCTACACAAAACTACCACCAAGCGTTTAAAATAAGTACATGCTATATTTCTGTCCCACATTACAACTGGTTTAAGCCCGATCAGACAAGCAAAAATATACACTGCAGTGTATTTATAAACCTTTAGCAAGATAGTTAAGAGTGAAACATGCATGGTGACCGATATTTCGAAATGGAGAAGAGATTTCCGAATCGATAAAGGAAATGGAGAGAGGAAACGGCCGGGAGCAGTCCATCAGAATTACATCATTTTTTCACATTGATTTAGCTACAGCCCGCGAATACACCCACCTCCATTCGCTCACACATCCTCGCTTGAATTTTAAACTCACTCACACTGCACACACTCAAACACATACATACACACCAGAGTCACTTTATGAGAAGTAAACCGAGTTATTTTCTGAGTATTGAGATTTATGTCTATGTTGTACTTATTTTTTTATCTCCGGTATATTTTTGTTTTTTCTCTTGTTTTTGGGTATGGTAATGTATGCTAATGAAGTTAAAACAAACGAAACATTGAAATACATGTAACCTGTAGTGAGATAAAAAAAAAAAATAAATAAATAACTACATCATTTACAACACTATTTCGCTTTGTCAGCTTTGCCTGGAGTACTATTGAAATCAACATAAACACACACCTTAGCTTGTAAGTAACTTGACAAATATGAACAGCAGAACTTGCCGTCGTGTTATTAAGTAAACCATGTTACTAAGATGGACTAGGATCATGTTTCAACATGAAAACGATTGCGGCTGGCGTTGAAACTGGAAATGATACTGGTACTAATTTTAGCTAGGTATAACTGAAATTGTATGGTCATGTCATGTGTAAAGAATAAGGTTACAGAAACGGTTAAATAAAGAGCAGAATGATATTCGATCAATGAGGCAAAATACTTGAGTGCTCATTTGATCGATCCACCTCTTGCCCGCCACAGTAATATTTGGTCAGTTAAGCCAGTCTATATATACATCGAACGTTGAGGGAAAGTAAAGGCTTTCGACGTAAGAGACATTCTAAATCAGACACAACTTTTCGCATGCAACGACTTAGGGAAACCTGTGCAAACGATTTGTCCGCGTGTAAAGGATAGAGTAGGGGCACCCAACGAGAATATAGTTCAAAACCACTTAAACATAGCATTGTTAAACGCATTTTACTATTTAAACGGTAGATATAGGCATATTTTTATCCCCTAAAAATTATTCATCTTTTCGGATTTCCTAGCGGAAAGTCTAGTGATCCGAAAATTATAGGGATCAAAACTTACCTTTTCGAAAATTTCAGCCAGAAAAGAGGCTCCCGAAAATTCTAGGTGACCTTTTTAGGGTAAAAATCCGTTAAAAATGGGCAATTATACCATTTTTTAGATGTTCGAAAATCCTAGAAGAGGCAGGCAAGCAAGAAATTTTACAACAAATGTTTCGAAAATTCTAGATCTCAAATCGTCTTCCGAACAGATATTCTTCCGAAAATTGTCGTTGGGTGCCCCTGATAGAGTTCTGCTTCGCTACAAAACTCGTCAGCAAAAAGTACCAACTGTTCTTTTGCAAATGCTCTTTGTTCACATAACTTAATTGCTCTCCTCCTCTCTCTTTCTCTTTGTGCCTACTTCGGGGGGATACTGCAATTCACGTTTCGCTTTAGAGGTCGTCTGCGATGAAACCAGTGTAACATCCTTGGCCTGACGCTCAGGTGTTTGATGGCTGGAAGGACTCGGGGAAGCTTCTTCGTTGTTGTACTCTGCGCATGTAGTTGTTTCAGCTCTCCCACTGGGTGAATGCAACTGATATTTTGAATTTATTTTTTAAAAGAAGTTAAAATAGCTTAAGTTCTATAAATCAAATTACCAATGGGTACGATATACACCCCACCGTCCCCATGGCCAGAAAATGAATTCTACAGTTTGTGCACGGGTGGCCCAGACGTAGTGTGTGTCAATAACATGGATAAAATGGGATGAGTCGTCGAAACTCTCATGAACTAATCTACCTTTAACTGACCGTCTTCATATCTTTCCTGGCCAGTTAAAGTGGCATTTTGTCGAGTTTTGCAATCTTAGGTACTATTCACGTTCCATCTGAATTATAAATATCATCCCTGGGGATTAATTAATGATATGCAAATGGTATATGTAATAGGAAACACTGGCACGCATTGTCCCATTCATTTCACTTTGTCCGACACGACGGTGATTGCATGGCGACCCACCCACCCTCCCCAGCGAGTAAGTCGGGTTCCAGATTACCTAGTATATTCAATTCAGTCTGTCTTGGGCTTGTTCCAGGTCAGATTGATTCCCCATACCTTATTATAATTAATGTTATGAATAACAATACCCAGGATGAATATTATACTATCCACTAATTCTTCTTTAGAATTATTTCAACCTAAATCCAGTCTTTAGTCAGATGGAAAGCATAACGATCCGGAACAGTTTCGATATTTTCTTACATACCCTTCTACATTTTTCTCGGCCAGTACAAGTTTTCTTAAGTTCGTCTTTACAACAATTACAAGAATGTCTCAATGGGTTAAAAAATTTTAGAGATTTTGACGGTTGACGGTTACTAAGTGGAACTTTAACCTAAAGTGCATGAATTCATATCAAATGTTGTTTTGAAAGACGTTGCCATTGCTATTAACTTGTAAAATTTCGAAGTATTTTCAGATTTGAGTATAGCGAAAGGTAATTGTATAAGTGTCTAGAAAGACATCAGACTGTTTCGTGAGAAAAAGTAATTATGAAAATTTAAAAACCGCCTAGTCATACCGTGTAGCATGAAAATTTTGCAGGAGTTTTATTTTGCGGATTGGCGATTTTTTGTGGTTTGCGGGAACAAATTTTTGCGGTTCGAGATGACTGAAATTTCTGGTGGGAAGTAATTTTGCGATTCTCTGTTTAAGTAGGAGAATATTTAAGTGGAAGAAACCTTAATATGGTATTTTCAACTTTTTATTTTACGGTATGTTGAGTCAAAGTTCACTCTATTTACATATTTAATGGCGTGAATAACTCGGTAATCACTGTAATATCTTACTGCACAAAGGGACTGAACAACAGCAAAACAAAACAAAAGCCTATCCACCATACACAACAAGTCCATTAAAAGCAGAGTTTTTACGGATCGAGGTCAATCCGCAAAATTCGCAAAAATTAGAACCCGCAAAATTTCACGCTACACGGTAGCTAAACGGTCTCTTCAATAACAAGCCGGGGGATTGAATTGGCGCCACCGAAACAGTAGCCTGCGAACGGCAGACTAATTTCCGGTCGTCTCTTCTCTCCCTCCGAAAATAGGGAACTTAAGCACCAGACGTTTTCTACGGGGCGACGGCAACCGGAAGTCAAATTTACTTCCGATCCACGTTTCCCGCCGACAGAGTCGGCCGTCGCGACTCTGCGCCGACTTTGTTTTGCTTATTTTGACGTCGCCTGTAAAACGTGAGTTTTGCTTTTATGATTTTCGTGCTTTTATATCATTTTGCCTGCGATGTTTTGCACTTAGTGATACGTAAAATTTTATTCTGTCGTTTTGGCGATTGTAGGAGCGATTGTCGTGTATTACAGGTCTGTTTTTTTAACTTTTTAGGCTCTATAGCGTGAAGATGGCTACCAAAAACAACCTGTAATGGAATGGACAGATGACCATGACATTCTCCTGTTGCGTGAAATGATTGCTACCGAATTTTTTTTTCAGTGCAAGAAAGGCAGTCCAGACCGTGGCAAAATCTGGGAGTCAATCCAGGAAAGATTGAACAAGCTTGATAATCCAAAATTTATGATAAAGGAGAAGAGGGGAGTCAGAGACCG